GCTCATTAGAGGCCTAAGAGGAACATTGACAAGCTGAAAAGGTTCTTACTACCACCAGGGAGAGAACTAAAACGTGCAGGATGCCGGGCCGACTTTGGGCACCCCTGTATTACAGGATGTTATAAGTGTAATAATCTACTAATAGAACTAGAACTTTTTCATCAATATTAAGGATTTTTTTAAAACTTGAAAACAAGCTCATATATGTAGATTAAGACTTACTTATAAGTTAGTTTTGTGTAAATAAACAGACTGGAATTTCGCTTGGGTTGCTAGGCAACGGGCGGAAGTTTCCTGGGTTTCCTAGGTAATGGGCGGAGTTCCGCTGGGGTTGCTAAGTAACGGCAGAGAGCCAGTCAATAACTAGCAGATTTTCAAAGACACCAAAAAGCATCAACTTGTTGTCAAAAACAGCTGGGTGTTTTTTTATCTCGTCTCTTTAAGTGCTTTGTATTTTTTGAGACCCACATGGAAAAACAAAAACATGAAAAATGTGAATTTTTATTAGTAGTTTCCCTTTAAGGGAAAACGAGGCCAACTCACATCCAAGGACTCCAGGCAGTACCAGCAGAAGGCGTGTTTGCAGTTCTTGCACATCATCTGGGCGCAGCCCTCGTCTCTCTCGATGTAGACTTTACACTTGGGGCAGCGCTTGATGGGGGCGTCGTCCTCTTCGTTCTTATAGAAAGAGCTGGAAACCAGCAGGAACCCAGTTACATTACGTCTGACTCGCTTTTAAAATAAAAGCACATTATTTTAAGATGTGCTTCAAAATAATGTGAATTATTATTTGCAGATCATAATGTAAATAATTGTGTCATTTTTATAAAACAAAAATAATTATTTTAAAGTCATAATATTACAAAAAAAGTTTCAAGATGTTTTACGTGGACAGATATTTATTTCTATCCACACATTTTTACAGAGCTTCAGACTGTTAGTTGTTGTTTTCCTGGTGTTTCGGGGCCCTGGTACCTGTTTTCCCCGGGAAGGAAGGAAGCGATGGGCGGGCTGCTCTCCTGGCAGGCCTGCCCCGGGTGCCAGGCGGCCTTGCAGGCGGAGCAGAACTCCAGGGCGCAGACGGCGCACTGGACCAGCTGAGGCAGAGCCGGGGAGTCGGTTTCTTTCAGCTGGCAGACGGCCTGGCAGCTGGAGGACGGGCACCACGTCCTGCACGGGTCCAACAGAACCTCTGGAGCCACAGCAGTAAATACATCACTGTTTAAAAAACTAAATTATGTCTAAACAGAAATTAATATTGTTTTAATCACTGCAAAAAAGAAAAACTAAACAGTTTCCAAATGAAGGAGAAAGTTAGGAGGTTAGTGCACCAGGCCCACCAACCAGCCGAGGTAAAGGCTCCAACTTCCAGGTTCTTTATTTCAGTCGATCTTTAGAGGATTTCATGAAACGTTTGGGTCGTCATCAGGTTTTATTCTCAAAACAACTTTACTATATTGTGACTTTTCTCGCAGTAAGATGAGAAAAGTCGTAATTATTAAAACAGTAATAAGACTTTTCTCATATTATTGTGATTATTCTAACATTATTATGAGATTATCCATGCATTATTACTATTCATTATTATGGCTTTTCTTGTAGTGCTACAAGAGAAGTAACAGTAATATTACTTTTTTTGCATCATTAAGACTTTTTTGTGTTTTTTTGACTTTACGTAATATGACTTCATTCTCGCAAAGTTACGACTTTATTTTTGTATCGTAACACTTTATTCACGTAATATCACTTTATTGTATGACTTTTTTTCTTAAATAATATTGCTTTTCTTAAATATTACTTTCTCAGCTTTGCCCTAATCCTCCATCGTACGGCAAACCTTCAAACTGCAGAATAATTAATTATAATGTGAACAAAATGTGATGCAATCATTTGTGATTTTATTTTAAAGCTGAATAAATATTTAGGTGACTTAATCAGCTGAAAATGCTTTTTAAACTGTATTTAAAGAATGTTTCTGTCTCTTCTCATTATTTATATTACCCTTGTTTATTTTTCATTACACTTTAAATTAATATTAAATATCTAAATGTCCAAATATGTTAGTAAAACACAGAAACACTATTCAGTTATTCTGTTGGCCGATAAATAAACTGTCTTCCACTCCTTCTACAAACTATTTCAATTATGTGCATCTGCCTCCAAAGACAATTTTCTTTTCCTACTGGGTCAAAGTTCACAGATTGTTGTTCTTCCATTTTATTGCTTCTTCCCCTGTTTTCTCTGCCAAGAACCCCGAGAACACCAGAAGCACGTCCAACTCGTCTGAGACAGAAAAATGTTCTGGCTGTTCTGATCCAAACCAAATTAAGGAAAAAAAAATTCATCTGATTTAACTTCAGACACTGAGAAAAAAAATTGTCTGTCTTTTTATACAGCGTATGGAAATATCTGGTTTTAGCTCTAAATATTCAAGCCTTTAATCAAACATCAGATTACACTTTATTACTAAACTGTCCAGTTTTGTAATAAACACGTGACTGAAATTCAAGCATTTTCAAGGTTTTCAAGGCCCTGTCTGAATCCAGGAATAAACTCACCGCGTTCGAACTGAAGCTTCTTGTACCTCTGCATCATCTCCGCCGCCACCATGCACTCGATCTGCAGACACACAAGGAAATTATTCAGCTGACAGAAATACATCCATCATTTCGGGAATATCATCTTATTAAGCTCCAGTTTTGTTATTTTCTTGCTTCTGAAATCATGAGAAAGTTTAGCTACTGATGCCAAATAATGAAAAAATCTGATGGTATGATTGGAAATTTTATTTTTGCCGTTTTCTTCCCTTTTTGTTCAATGAGAGCTTCAATTAAAAAAAAAACAGTAAATTAGAAAATAAGATTAAGTGACTTGACTGTGTGCAGCTTAGTGATGTTATTCACCGTTTTATATCGGAGGCGTCCTGAAGAAGATTACTTCCACAAATTTCTTAGTTTAAAAAGTTGAAAATTTTAGACTTTTGAACATTTTCTGAGCTTCATAAAAGGGAAAACTCAAATTTCCAAGTTTTCTCTAGAAAATTTCTCAAAGTTCCAGTTTTTTTCTAGCAAATCTTTTAACTTTTTAAACTCAGAAATGTTGAGATTAATCTCTGAAATTTTCTAGAAAATAATTTGGAAATTTCAGATTTTTTACTGCAAATACTTTTGGAGCTCAAAAATCTCAATGCTTTTTCTAGAAAATTTATCACAGCAGTACCACCAAATCAAATTGTAAGTCCATCCCTGGATCTGATTCTTATTTTGTGGGAGGAAATAGAGAGAGGAGCAAACAGGGTTAGCCTCATTTAGTGGTCGATGCATCGAACGTTCAGGCTTTGTAAAGAAGAATCAATTTCACAGCGAAGGACCTGCTGAGAGAAGAGAAAGACAGGCAGGAGTAGCTGGGGTTTCATCAGCTGCAAGTCGATCAGATGCTAATTGATCAGAAACATAATGCTGCGGTGGCAGAACCACGATGAGCCTCTCAGTAAAGAACCGAGCGGATCCGACCCACACAGTCCGGGCGGAGCTGAGCGGCAGCTTTAGAAGGATGTAACAGGTTGCAGAAAGGATTTCTTTGACTTATAAACATGTTGCAATGTGACGACACGCCCCCAGCCGCCTGCTGGAGGGCAAAAAGCAGCTAGCTGACGATGACTAGCCATCAGGTTGTCAACACAACGCGGTAAATCTTAAATATACGCATGACAAAGAAAAAAAAGGATTCAGTGCTTTGCAGCTAATTAGACAACCAGATAAGAAGGTCAGGAAAAATTTAATAAAAAATAAAACAAATAGTGAGGGAAGTAGGTCAGCTATGCTAGCTTGACTTTGAAAACCTTAACATCGAGATGTGCTGCAGAATCTGATAATTTATTAACAATCATAAAATAAACATCAAGCCTCAAAAAATGAAACTGTAATGGACTGAATGATCAGTTCCTTGCGTGGGGAACTGCAGGTTTTTGAATCCTGATATGCTAGTAAAGCTGTTGTAAGCCAGCTGCTATGGCAATGGGCTTGCCACAAAGAGTGAGAAAAGAGGATAATACAGGTGGTTTTCAGTTATGCTTCACTGGTTTTTCTGCATTATTTTCCCTTTACTGCCCAGCACAAAATCATTAATAATATCTACATCTCAAAAATATCAGGAAATATATATTTAAGTCATGTAATACAGATAAATATCAGCTTTTGGCCATAACAGCAATAATAATATCAGATATTAGTCCAATAGTTTGCATTAAAGCAGGATATCTTTATTTGGTACTAAAATAATGATCTTAAATAATTTAAATGCGACAACAACAAAAAACGCTTAGTGAGATGAAATTGTTGAGGCTCATTTTCAAATTAAACCAATAACTAATAATTTATATGAATGAGTGTGTTACCATCAGGTTTCCCCATTATGTGAAAAGCAAAGAACTGAGAACACAGCCATGAGGTACACCAGAAGTTTTCCAACTCGATCAAACTGTACTCAGCACAACTCACAACAACCCACCTTTTCTCATTTACCCAACATAAACACAATTTATCACTTTATGTTATGGATTAAAACCAGGGCCGGACCAAACCTCCATGGGGCCCCAAGCGAAATATGGTTTTGGGGCCCTCTAGTTCTGCTAACAATGTGGACAGGCTGCAATCAGCAGCCTGATCATTAGGTTATTCACACACCTGCTATAAACTTAATGCATCTCTGGCTGTTTATATTATATTCATGTTTAATATAGGATACATTTATTGGCCACCTGATTTATCAACCAGTCGATTTCTGGGACCGATTTACTTAATTTTGGGGGATCGTAATCGGCCGATACTTACATGTGAAGCCCATCTTATCACCTAATCTCTTCTTTGACAGCAAAGGTTTATAAATCAGCCTCTGTCCTCTTCTGCTCTGCAGTGAGACCAACCAGGTCAGGCCTGAACCTTTACAGTTAACAATATTTACCCCACTGTGGCAAACTCACCGACTTTCTTGCTACATTTAGCAACATTTCAGACAACAAAAAAATGTAATCTAAAAAAAAATTCATATCAGCCAAAATCAAAATTAGCTGGTCAGGCTGCTTAGTTTGCTAATGCCTTGGGCCGGCTCTGACTAAAACAAAAACATTTTTGGTGATGACAGTTTTGATTTTTACCTCATTTTCCTGCAAATGTCCTCTTTTAGGGCAGGCAGAGTCAGGACAGCTAATTGCAGTTTCAAGGCCTTCTTTAATCAGGAGCTCCACATACTGCTTCAGGCACTGAAAATGAAAAACCACAGGTCAGAGCTGCATAGAAAGTATTCACACCTCACAAACCTTTTCTCCTCATGTTTCCAGTGGAAATCCTCCAAAATGCTCCGGCTGTGAAACCAGAGCGTCCACAGCCAGGAAAAGTTTAACTTCAGCCTCTATTTAACTTCTTTCAGATTAGAAAAAATTGCAAAGTAAATAGTAGATATCAAGTATCAGATAGCAGAGCTCAGCTCAGACGTGTTTACAGGGTCTCTGCCCTCTGTAATAATCTGTGGTGAGTGAACTCTGGTAACCGCTGCCGCCAGCCGGTTTGAGGAAATGGCAACTAAATTTAGAGCTTATTCTTGGTTAGGCTGTAAAAACCAACGGATGTCACTTTCTTTCTGTAACATCAGATGATAAACCAGAGTTTACTGAAACTATTTTGGTGGTTTTCACTGTGTTAAAATGTCACATTGCTTCATTGAATACACAGAAATATGTCTGGATAAGCCAGAAGTGATCATAAACCAAGATCTTTTTCACATTTTACCTTTTTATCATTAATATATTTTATTAGGATGTTATGTGATAAACCACAAATGTGCTAATAGCGGAGCTAATTTTTGGTTTAGAATTTCAGCATTTTGGTAACTGTAAATTATTAGCACACTCAGTTTCCCTTAAGTTATTTTTTCCAGTTAGATTTGAATGCTCTAGTAGTATAATTCATTTTTCACTTTTAGTAGCTTCACCTAAATCAATGTTTTGGATAAATTCTAATGTGCATGTAACCAAGCTAAATTTAGCTTAGGGCTTTAATGCTTTAGCTAACTTTGTAAACAATTAGCACACTTAGCTTCAACGTGACAGAATCTGTAAAACTCACCAGTGTGCAGAAAACACATTGGCACTGCGTGATGGTGGTCATCTGCTCCAGTGGAAACTCTCCAAGGCACAGTTTACAGGAAACCAGGGGGTCAACGGCCAACTCCCAGGTGGGCCGGTACCGTGCTGTGGTCATCTTCACCTCCACACAGCTGAGACAGGACAGAGGAGAGCCGCCGTTAATGCAAACACAGTATTCACATTATGTTGTTTATGCTGCAGTACATCCAGGGTCGCTGATGTCCAGCCAGTAAAGTCATTTTTGCACATTGAGTATCAATCATCCGTTTAAATGTGAGGCAGAGTGTGATGAAAAGGAAGGCAAAATGTAGAAATAAGAGAAAACAGAAGGATAAAATGGAGAGAACGCAGAAAAAAGCTGGTGTTTATGTTGGAAATGCTAACCTAGAAATAGAGCTAGAATTTCTAACTCCAGATGTTTACAGTTAGCATCGGGACCAAAACTTTTCTCTCAAGAATCGTGTTTCAAAATTAAAAGATGCTTCATTGTCAATTTATACGTCCATTCATCATCTTCCAATTTGTTTTATTTCTATAGCTAATGGTGCTAGCCTCTGCTAATGTTGTCAGCCTCTGCTAATGTCATTAGCTCTAGCTAATGGTGTAAGATCCTGCTAATGGCATAAGCTCAAGCTAATGGCCTCCGCTATGCATAATGTAAGCTCTAGCTGGCTTTAAATCCAGTTAATAACGTTAGATATAGCTAAAGGCACTAGCTCCAGCTAATGGTGTTAGCTCTACCTGATAGCACTAGTTCCTGCTAGTTTCATTAGCTCTAGTTAATGGTGTAAGCGCCTGCTGGTGGCTTTGCCAATGGCGTTCAACTCTGCTAATGTCGGTGCTCTAGCTAATGGCATTATCTCCATTAGCTAGATTTATTAGCTAATGGAGTTAGCTCCTGCTAGTTTTATTAGCTCCAGTTTACATAATAAACCATAGATTACAAGCCGATCATGTTAGTTTGGTTCAACAGATGTCTCGTGTCTAAATGAAAGGATGTTTGCGGCCTGACCACATCGACCTGCATGACCTTCACATATTACGGTATTTTTAACATTTTTGATATTTTTGAAGTAACTTATGAGTTTTTTCGTATCCCAAACACCAACTTTTAGGTTAATATAAAAACTACAACATATTCAGGCCAACATGTTCCAGTGGTCATGGATCGCTTGAGGGAAAATAAGGGAAAAGGAGAGGACAGAGGCATTTATGTTTGTCTCCACTTAATCCGTGAGTTAAAGATGTGCTTTGTCAGATTAAGCCTCATGGACTAATAAATGCACTCTGGAGTGAGTGAGCGCGCACACAAACCGGCCCTTTATATGCAGCGTGACACCAGTTTTCCTGCATAAACACCCAACGTCAGCCATGTTCCGCTTCATTTCAAACAACACACTTTGTGGCATTAAAGAAGAAAACAGCTCAAAGGCTTTGGAAAATCCTGTGGTCATCTACAACAGCTATCTAAGCCCACTGTGAAAATTCACTTTGCATTAAGTAACATGGCTGCTCCTCTTTCTGAGAGCCGGAATGGGTTATTTTGGGCCGTCTCGTCTCAGCCTGCAGCTGAGCGCAAACAGCTCCCACTCTGCTGTTTACAGGAAGTGGTCCTGCGCTCTCAGCGTCAGCACTATCAACCTCTCCCCTTGCTGCCTAGCAACCAGCCGGAGGAGGATTTCAGAGATGGAGGAGGCAATGAAGAAAGATGAAAAACCACAGATCAGTCTGCGTCAGTTTGCTGGTTGGCAGCAGAGGACAAAGAACGGGAGGAGAACGAGGTTCAAGAGTTCACAGCACCAATCTGTGGGCTCGTGCTGCGTCCATGTGCGACCCGGTAAGGCAGGAGGAAACAAGGAAACGGGCCGGATGTCGTCCAGAACCGATCCTCTACTTCAGTCACCACAAAAGATTCATATTTTAATATCTATTAATTAAAAATGGAAGAAAAAGAAAAGCTAAATGTACAAGCCTAAATTAAAATTGAGCTTATTCAGACCTTTGTAAATTAAGTTTATATTTTTTATGATGATTTAAGATCATCAGGATAAAACTAAAAACTTTTTAATGAGTTGCAATGCGTTTTTCTTCATCAGTGGAGTGTTGTGCAATAAGCACACACAGAAGCACTCTAAATCTGGTTCTCTGCATACCAACATCTAAACAAATATCACTTTGGCCTCATCTGGTTGATTCAGATACTCTGTAGGAAACTTAATGAGTTACAGTACATTGTTCTTCAGCAGTGGAGTATTGTGAAGTTACTATGGGCCCCAAGTGGTTCTCAAAGAAACACTGATCACTTCATAAAGGTAAATCTAGGTTTTGCAGCATTAGAGGCCTTTAATAGGCCATTTATTAGGGCTAAATCAACTGTGAACCTGCACTGATAGGCAATGCTAACAGATTTCTGCTTTTTTCCCCGTTGTTTTCAATTCTCTAAAGCAATTTGATAACATGATCAAATCTGACTGATACCTATTTCTCTGTTTTTAAACAAAACCTCGATGTTTTTTTGGATTACTTGTCATCTTCTGTGTACAGTATAACCGAGTAGAGATGCAGCAACTTTTCTGCGTTGGGCAACTTTCCACCCGCCACTCTAAGCAGTGAGTCAGTTCCTGGTTGACTCTGCAACATATCTCATTTAATAATGAACTCTTCCTCCTTCACATTTCTTCATCATGTGGTCTGTGGGAGGACTGCGGAGAAAACTCCACACCTCGGCTCTGACTCATTCAGATCCTCATCCGTTCGTTCGTTTCCAGGCTTCGTGTTGATCAACATGAAGCAACCAGCAGTGGGGATGCTCCGCTATGAGTTTATAAAAACTTAACGACCAATCAGGGCGGAGAAGTGAACCGAAGAGGGAAGAGTGTGGTTTAGAAAGGAAATGACATCAGATTACATCATTTATTTAAAATAGAGATTCGCAACCAGACATTAAGTAAGCAAGTCATTTTATTTACGCAGCAGCAGGGCTGAACTAGACTGTGTGACTTGGGGCCCAACTTCCTGTTCAGACCAACACTGAAAACGTTTCAATCCAGATGGATTCTGGGAAACGGAGTCAAACTTGACTAGCTAAGCTTAAAAACAATCAATGATATATCAATATCAATATCAATAGATAATACATCTGACAGAATATTCACTGAACTCTGATCCAGAACCGCATAGCATTCTGGGAGATGCAGGCAGAGGAAAAGCCTCATCCTGGCCTTTCATTATAGGTTAGTTTTATTTCCTCATGACTTTTTGTTTGTCTAATTCAGTTAGTTTTAAGTAGTTCTTAAGAGTGAGATTTCTAAAAACAAAGGAATCTAACGTTGCGTTTCATTTTTACGTTTGGAAGCTCATTTCCTGTCACATAACCAGAAAAGCCGGTTTTTGACATTTCTCTGACATTCGGAAAAACTTACTTAATTTACCATAACTCCGGTTTTACTTGGCCTATTAACACAATTTAAAAACTGGTGTGTAGTTTATAATGTGCACTTTAAGCACAAGTTGAAAGTGAGACTGAGGGAGGCGGAGTCTGGCTGCTACGCCATCACAAACCAGACATGTAAAAAAGATGCTATAAGGCTATGGACCACTATGTTTTAATGGATCGATACTCGCGGATGAAAAATCGATACATTCCGAGGGGGGGAAATATCGATACATATCGTAGAATCGATTTAATTATGCAGCCCTAATTGATATTGACTAATAATGCAGCCATATCGTCCAGCCCTGAAAAAAAACAAAAAAACAATAAACAAACAAAAACAAGATTAATACATTAGAAAACAGGTAGTTTCCCTCAACAGGGAGCAGCCTGTGGGTCTCTATGTCGGATGAATGGGCAGGTCAGGGTAAAAAGTAATAAAAAATAATCAATAAGGTAAGAGCTGGGAGTCAAATGCAATCCTAAGTGGTTGTCCCCATGTGTCGGTCATCACTCTGAAAGGCTGCTCTTATATTAACAAGCTGCAGCATAATTTATGACCTAACGACTTAATGGCCCAGACAGAAACCCACAAACATGCATTAAAACATGTGGCGCTATGGAGGCATGGAGGGCACCAAGACGGACAAAATAAATTAATTTATATACATTAGCAAAAGCTAACAGTTCTAAGAAATGTGACTGTTTTTGTATTTATTTTATATTGGAACAAAAAATATTACTTAAAGGTTCTGAGTTAAATGTTTAACCCAGAACCTTTTTTTAAGTAAAAATCAAGTTTATTTGCATACAAACCAATTCAAAAATGAAAATAATGTTGCTGTAACTCATTAATTCTTCAGAATTATTGTAGATAGTGATGGTTATTATCAGGACAAATCTCTGTAGCAGTCTGTGTTACAGTGAAAGCAAAGAAGCCTCTGACTGAAGACACTGTTCAGAGAGTTTTACAGGAAACTAAAGGAGAAGTTAGGAATTAAATATACCAGAAGTTCACTGCAGATTTAGTTAAAAATATTCCCGATTTTCATCTCCTCATCTTTCCAGATAACTTTTAACAAACAAAAGTTTGCAAACAGATTTTTTATTAGTTCATATAAATTAAGCTGTGGTGGAACAAAAGGTTGACTGAATATTAACTGTGCATAAAGATTTCATTTCTACATCCTGCAAACCAAAAACTTTCCCAATTTACTGCATTTTTAAAATAATATTGCTTTTTGTTTACTGCTGTGGGAAACATTAAAGAATATTGAACATTTTCAGCTGAGTTGACGGTTTCCAGAGTGAAATTATATAACAGGACATCACAGTATTGTGTAAGACTCTGTTTATGTTCCTCAGCTCCACTGAATGTGGAAGCAAACTGCAGAGAGAGAGAGAAAGAAAGGGATCAGTCCATTTCCCTCCTGCACAAAACAGACGCCACTCAGCTGCCGCCATGTTGGACAGGGCATGGAGCGCGAGACAACGAGGAAGCATTCCTGACAATAATCTATGAGAAGTTCATCAACGAGCTTTCTTTATTTCTAACCAGAATGAAAATGAGTATTAAATAAGTTAATTAAATTATCTAAATGACATATTGAACGTAAATGAGACCCAGATCAGCGGCTCGCTCGGTGAGAAGGCCATTATTCTGTAATAAGCGGCTCCTCCCTTGCCACTTCCTTCCTG